GGGGGGGGGGGTCAGCTGGGGGTCGCGTGGCCTCGCACACCTCGCTCGACTCGGCGTGTTGCGCGCGGTCCGCTCTGGTCCGGCGCCGCGGTACGGCGGGGGCGCGCTGCGACCGCACGGCATCCTCAGCCCGTCCCCCATCCATCACCCGCCGAGGCTCCAGCGCCAGCCTGACGTAACGGAATGCAACGGGTGCCGCGCGATACAGGCCTTACGTTTTATTTTCGCATCGTTCGATATGAAGATGAGGAGTTTTGACATGTGGCCTAAATGGTGTGTTTTGTTCCATTATTGGTAGAAAGTTTGTTCTGCGTGTCGATTTAGTATTTTTATTTACACCCTTTTGCGCAATTCTCATGGAATAGAAGGTTAATCAACGCTTTCGAGTGAAGAGGTAATTGAGGTGATACACCCAAGAAAACAAAGGTACTTGAAACCTAGTATAAATTTTCTTGATAACAGGTGCATGCACTCAGTTCAGTACTTGTTTGAAGAAAATGTACTTGATTTCAAGTTTGAGGTGTACCAGGTGGCTGATCAACCCCCGCACGCTCCTATCGCATTCCTGTGTGTGGGGGTTGGCTTGGCTACACGCACTGCTCGCCGGCCGCCGGGAGCGGCAAGTCAGTCATCTGGTTTAACTCTATTCCTCTACTCGTCCAGACCAAAAGGAGTGCCATATACGAAAAATTACTACTCTTGAAAATTTACACAAGGCATCTAAATGTAACCCCCGAGCTAGGCGAAAACAATGTGGAGCGCGGGCCGAGAGGCGGCAGGTCGATGCGCACTGCGCAGCAGGGCCACGCGGACGCAACGTTGCAATAGACTCGGACCGTAATTTGGGGAGATGATGAGCGGAACTTGCTCTAGCAGCCCATCATTGCGGCCTGCATGTATGCAAGTGCTGGGGCCCGGGCGGCCAGCGTGTTGCGCGCCTCGCCCTCCTCGCCGGGCTATCTGGGCTGCTGGGCTGCTCCTCCTCGCTTTGTTTTGGCAGCTGCGGCGCTACGTGACGACGTGTTGAAAGCCCCCCCTCGTCTCGCACGCACAAGTCAGTGCGGGATGCCAAAGATGTGTAGTATTCTTTCTCCTCTCACTATCGCGGGGATGAAGGGCGGAGAAGGGCACGCGGCGCGCGCGGGATTGTATTCTGCCCAAACACCCGTCCGCATGCTTCGTGAACATTTAACGGGGTACACCTCAAAACATTTTACTAGAAAATTTGCCAAGTAACTATACTTACTAAAGCTTTGTGCTGTGCTGTTCTATACTATATTATCTATCAAGAAATTCTTTGAGATTACTAACCTTTTTACTAGTATTACCTAACGTTTTTGAGTATCATAATAACGGTACTAGAAAACAGCACAAAACTTCAGAAGTTACTGGACAAAAATGTTCTAGTAAATCGTTTAGAGTGTCGGCCTGGGAAGAGGAACGCCAACACGCCCACCCCACAAACAGGGGGGCAGCGGCGCGGTGCTCCAACTAAACAAACCGCCTGATAGGTAGGCTGCCCGCGCGGCACTGTCACGCCCGGAGGCAGGAAAGAAACGGACGGGAAGCAGAGGGTGGGTGGGCGCGCCCCCTGCTCCCTCCCTGCCGCTGTGCGGGGCCGACAGCAGAGAGGAGGGTCGCGCTCTGGAATGGCGCGTGCTCTGCGCGGTGAGTAATGCCGCTCGCCACGAGGAGGGCCTCGGCCGCACCCACATTATCGCAAAGCGAGCATAAAACAAAATACAGTCGAACGCGGCGGTCGTGCGGCGCGGCTGTGCGTGAGGCCGTTGCGGGCGGCCGTTATCAGGGGAGGGGACACGCAGAGCTCACAGACAGGTGCGCTGACGGGGCTCGCGCTGACAGCGAGGGAAGCGCGGCAGCGGAGGGGAAAGGGGGCGACCACTTCAGGGCTCGCGGGAGTTGGCGATAGATGTGTGCGCCCGCGTCCCCCGTAACAGGCTTTGCGAACTTCTCTGGTTCCATTATTCACAGGCATTGGTTTCAACCACAGAGAGCTCTCCACACCGTGGTTTCAAACTTGCTCGAGCTTCTCAAGGTACTGTCGGGGACAGTGTGGAATAGGGTATTCCACCCAGTTCAAACCGGATCCAAAGAAGAACAGTAGTAATGCTTCCTGAACTGTTTCCTCCCTGACGCTCATTGGCTCACGCGCACGAAGTTCTCGGACCCGTCACTAGGGTAGTCACAGCCCTGGTGGCGGGTCCGCAAACTTCGTCGACGTGAGCCAATTAGCGTCAGGGAGGAAACAGTTCAGGAAGCATTACTAATGTTCCTCTTTGGATCCGGTTTAAACTGGGTGAAATGCCCTATCGCTTTATTTATTAAAGGAGCTTTCTCTACTCCGGACGCAATCGCATGGTTTACAGTTAAAATTATTAATCTTGTCATATTTTCACCTCGCTGTTAGAGGCATGCAGAGGAGCGGTGGTGGGTGGCGGTGCCCACCACCACCACGACTAGCGCTTGCTTGCACTTGCTAAGCTTGCGGGATTGACGGGGGTGTGCGGGAGGCTTCCCGGAACGCCCTCAGGACGGGGTACTGAGTGACAAACCGTAACAGTGCAGCTTTATTGTGTCGAGTAACTACTGCCCTGCGTCACTTGTCAACTGCCCACTCGCGAAAACAAACTACTTCGCTGTGGAGGTATGGGGGTTCTGCATGATGCGTGAAAACCTTGCACGACTCCGCTTGGCAGTAAATAAATAAATGCATGTAGGTGGTCTTACGGTGTCCAAAATTTTCTTCTCAAGCTAAAAGGCGCATTCTGGAAACTTACGTGTCATACAGCTTTACACTCATAAGACAAACAGGGCACGAACTCTGAGAAAGAAAGAAAATGTATTCCGAAACTTAAGCATTGTATGCCACTTTACAGCTGTAGGGCACCTTGGTCCTACACAGGACCCCCAGGACCCTATGGTACCGAATCGATAAGTGTGAGACTGGGTGACTTTGAGTTTCCAGAACAGAGTTAATGCCAATAATTAACACAACAATGTGGTTTGTGATCAGAGTTTCAATTAGAACAATAATGGTAAAGTTTAGGACCACATTCTTATCTTTTTCACAGTTAGTTCGCCTCTCCGCGACATGTTTATCGGGGCGGCCGCAGAGCAGCGGGAGGAACGAATGGGGGTGCCAAAGAGACCTAACAAACGCGCTGTGAGGCGGGGTTGGACAGTCCTGGACAGTCCTGGACAGTCCGGCCGGCCCGGCGGGACCAAGGACACGCCACGCCACGCGGCGCCGAGCGCGGCGCAGCAGCCCAGCGCCACAGCCAGCAGCAGGAAGAAGGAGCGGCAATTGCGTTTGGGACTCCAGTTATCCTGAAAGAACCATCTGTCCCCCGGCTCGCCTCGCCTCGCCTGCCGCTCGCGCCGTGCGCTGTGTCTCTGTCCGGCCCCACGCCCCCCACGCCCACGCCCCGGGCCACAGAGTCACGCCAGGTCACGCCCAGCGGCTGATTAATTTTCCATCCGTCACTCGTGGCATGATCCCGGCGCTTAGTCCGCTCCGCGCCTGGCAGACCGGACCGGAACCTCGACCGGACCGGACCAAACTAGGCGTCCGAGTTTACATCATTATCTTCCACGACAAACATTACCAAACTTCCAATTTTTGCAGCGCCCCTGATAAAATTTTAAACGGGCATAAAACTCAATGCGTTAAAAAGTGTCGTACGTTTTCAGATTGTACCGTGAGTTTTAGTAAAGTTTAGTAAAGCCGAGTAAAGCCCTAACACCAGTAGGGACCCGCTCCCTGCGACTTTTACTTTTACTCCCCAAGGCGTTGATTGTCACGCCAAATGTGCCAATGCTTCCATGTTGCCTTAAAATCGACAACAAATGTGTACAGTGTAATCTCGGTGAGCTGCGGGTCGGCCATATACCTCGCGCGGCGGTGTTCAAAATTGCCTATTTATTTTGTGCACCGCGTTTAAGCAGCTCCTGGCGTGCTATCCTATATAATTGAACAAAATGGTTGGGAATAGACGACGGACTCTCGCAAATAGATGATTAGCTACGCGTTTTACTCGCGCCCGATTTGTACAATTACTTCGGCGTGTGATTGGTTTTTGCGGCTCGCGGGCCGGGCGGGGCGGGGCGTGGGCGCGCGCACAGGTGCCCGTCGTGCGGATCGGCGGGAGCATTAGCGTGCAGTTAATTACACGAGCCTGGGGCAGGCGATCCGCACGCGCAAATAAACTGCGCCGCCGCACAGCATTCGTTATACACTCGGAGCGGTTATCCATGCAAATCTCATCCCTTGGCGGTGCGGGTGGTGTGGGTGTCCCATTGTCCGGAACCAAAAGCCCTTTGCGCTACGCAGAGGTCCTCCTGGTCCCAACCCGCACGCGCTGGCACCAGGCCAGGGCCATTACCCGTCCCTGTGGGGGAGAAGAGCCGGTCGAAGACCTTCGCACTTTTTTTCTGTTTTTGCATTGACGACTTTTTAACGCGGTGTGGCATAAGGAGGCTTTGGGCGCGGTTGTGCGTGTTATCCCTTATCCCCTGCGCGCTTATCCTCCTCACACCTCAACCACCCGAGCAGCGCACGGGCCGGCCGTGTGGGTATGACAAGGGTTGACAGCGAGCAGGCGGAGCAGCTGGAGAACGCACAGCGGGCGACGCAATGACATCGCGGCCGATCGAGGGGCTTCGCTTCGGTCGGCCCTTTGTCAAATAAAAACTCAACCCCCATTGAGCAAACATATGGCATGTGCGGAGCTGCGTGCTCAGCGGCCGTGGCCGTGGTGGAAATGAATGGCACTCCATGAGCCGGACAAGCTGTGCGCGCCCCGCCCGGCCGGTCCCCGGGGCGCGGTCCGCGCGGCCTCCAGGGGGCGCTGGGCCGCCCTGAGCCGCGCCCTGAGCCGCGCGCGCCCCGCCGCCCTGCAGGTGGCTCGTATCGGCCCCCAGCAGCCCCTCGGCAGGCCACGGCGCCCCTCGGGTCAGCGGGGCCGAGGGGCGGCAGGAGGAGTCGTCGTTACCTCGATTTCTCGCTGACCACGCCGATCGCCCTATCAGTGCCACGGCAGTTCTCGTCCAGCGGGATGGGGCGGGGGGCTAGGACGAGGACGCCCCCGACACTGGGGTGGGTTTGCTCTCCGACACTGCAACCCCTGCAACCCAACAACGATGATGTCAGCACCCGGCGCAGAAAGCGACGACGAAGCGGACGCTTTCTGAAAAAGTTCACAACTTTCGGGGACGGGTAGTAGTGCCACTACTGTAGTGGAGTTGTCCTGCCAGGCTCTCTGCCGAGCTCTCTGTCGATCTCTCTGCAGGGCGATATGGGTGGGGGTGGCCTCTGCCGGGTGCACGCACTCGCACTCGCGTGCGTCATCCTCGAGCGGTAAACCCTCCGCACGACATGGTATTCACCCGTCACGACAAGACCTCCTACTCCTCCGCCACCTCTCTCACCCCACGCCCTCCTACCCGAGCAGCACACCTCTCCATCGCGCCCGCCCGTTTGATCCTGGCGCTGCTCTAACGCGTCGCGAAGCTTTGCGTCCGCGGCGCCGGGGGCGGCAACATCGCCGCGTTTTGTTTGGGTACGCGGCGGCGTGGGGTGGCTTGGCGTTCACTGCCCGCGGCTGGAGCTCCAATTACAATCAGGCCAGGTCAGCCGGGTGCCCAGGGGATGACCCCTCAGCGAGCCTGCGGAGGGCGCGTGAGGGCGGCCGGGGCTGACCTGGACCTGGTGGTACCTTCACCCACGCCTCGCCCGGGGCTGGAGGAGAATTACATTAATGGTGGTGAATGTCACCCCTTCCCAGACGGGCGACGCACCCTCCCCTCTCCCCCT